TAATGCATTGTTGAGGCTGTCATTGTCGGCATCTACATGAATATTAAAGTCGCCTACTATGATTATTTTATCTGAACTAAGCACTAAATCAGACAAAGTCTGAGAATCCAGTTAAAAACTCTGAATAAGGAGCAGGTGGACGGTATACAATAACAAACAGAACAGGCTTTTGAGTTTTCCAGTTTGGGTGTATAACTCAGGATGACGCTTTCAAACAAGTTATTACTATGTTTAGGTCCAGGGTTGATTAATGGGCTTGAGTGGAAGATGGCTGCCACACCTCCACCTGGTCACAGTAACTGTCACAGGCCGAAGTTTCAGTCAGACACAATAAATCAATGTGATGTTCACTTATCAAATCACTAACAGATTTAGATGAGAGAGATCTGATATTTAATAGTCCACATTTGGACTATTAAATATCAACTCCTCTTGAGCTAATTTTTGATTTATATAATTTAGGTGGTCGTGGGGCAGACAGTCTCTATGGGGTACTGGGAGTTTTAGGTGCAGTGACACAGAGAGGCGTGTAAGACTGACCCTGTGTCCTGGTCTCAACTCTAGGTTGTCATAATTCAGGTTGTAAAATAAACTAGTCCATAATTCTAGATGTGACAGCAGCACTGTCCAAAGTGGGATGGATGTCATCTCTGCTAATCAGACCAGGTTTTCCCCAAAACGTTGTAAGCGAGAGAGGTGAATGCAAATACAAGGGGTTTGGAAATGAAGGCACAGAGATGATGAGGGTGTACTGCAAAAGAATGAAGACAAAGCCTGAGAAAATGCAAATGAGCAGAGGGACCGCAGAAGAGAGAGGAAGATGTGCTGTCTGCGTGATGTGATGAGAAGAGAGCAAACGGGAAAGTGTGAGAGGAAAAACTCAAATACGTGTGAGAAAGCGACAGCGATGCGATGCGAGAGAGTGGGTGTTTGTGAAGGCGTCAAACAAAGCTAGCCAGGGAAACAAGGCAGGAGGGTGAAGGAGGGAAACATCATGGATTGTGGAACAAGAGTCACGGGCAATGCACAAACACCACACAAACATCTTTTTCAACAGCCCTGAATGCAGCACCTATCATTAGCTGAATATGTGGTCCCTGGGCGCTGACAATGAGCTTTTAGCAGGGGCCTCTGAGCTGCTTCCTGACTCCATGGAGAGCCTGTCATCCGGGCTCACCATCATCGCCTCCTCTTCAGGCAAACAAACTACAAAACTGAAGAGAACGGAGCTGCACTTACACCATAAGACCACCAGGGGCCGCTAGCCAGAAGGGAGCAGCTGTACCATGTGACTCCTTGTTTATCCCTCTCTGCAGCCACTTTCATCTATACTTGGGAGGACTGACTCGTGGCAGATCAATATCCCCATGAGGACATTTTAGCCTGTTGCCACTGTGACAAAGAGGCAGATTTGGGGATTAAAACAGCAAGTACACATAAGCGCAAGGCACAAGGTAATGAATTCAAGCCATGCAGCGTCTCCTCAAGTGTGTGCGAGACAGCAGCTGACTAGCAGAGAGAGGAAGGAGAGGCAGCCTGGTTAATATTTGTCACGGCAGCTGGTGGATGGGAAACAATTCAATTCCACTCGGTAACCCTTTTTGCAACAGAACAGAGAATCCGATGCTTCTGCACCGTTGGCTGTGGTTTGATGGCAACCACTCCAGATTGTGTTGCTTTTTTTACTCCCTCTTCTTGCCTCCTCATCCTCCACCCCCTCCCCCGATCCTCTATTTTACCACCAAATGCAAAAAGAAACTTATTAATATAAAAACAAACAAACAAACAAACAAAAAAATCCAGTGGGCCAGAAGAAGAAAGGCTGAAGTGAAAATGGAGTGTGCATGTGTGTGTTGGACCAGGGCCTCTGTCTTTCCATCACACCTACCCACTCAGTCACACACACACACACACACACACACACACACACACACACACACACACACAGAGTGAATAATCACTGTAAGATCTTTCTGCAAAGATTTATATTGAGTGGAGTCTCTTTGATGGACCTTTATTACTATTTCTATTTTGGCTGCAACTAATAATGATTTTTATAGAATTTGCTTTTTCAAATTTTTAGTTTCTTCACTAAAATATAAAAAAAACACCTTACTTCCCAGGGCACCATGTGAGGTATTTACCCCACCAACAGTCTGTAATCAAAACATATTCTGTTTAATATCATATACGACAAAAGAAAGCAGCAAATGATCCCATTTAAGAAACTGGAACCAGAATAATCTAGGGTTTTTACTTAGCCTCATAGCTGCTGATTAATGTTATGGACTAATTGCTAAGTCAGCCAGGGTTCATTTTTATTTCATATGTTCCCATTATGATGCTCGCACAATTCTCTGCAAGGACTTTGGAAGTGCATACAAATGCATTTTACAGTTGAGCTTTTAGAGCATCTGTTCTAGATTTTCACACCAAAATTGACCATAATGTAGTACACAAACCCAAACGCAGTTATGCATTGCATTAAGAGGTTGCCTATAGGATGCCCACATCAAAAACACACATATATATGCACATGCACATGCACACACACACACCTTTCATCTCGCAGCAGTCCTTGGTGGCTCTCTGGTCGGCCTTGATTGGCAGCTGGAGCAGGGACTTCAGGTTGGTCATGGAGGTCAGGTGTCCACCTTGGGGCCCACTTCCAGCTGGGCTGCTGGTCCCAAACTGCGGGCTGGTGGCCCCCGCAGGGAGATCCGGGGGTAAGAGCTGAGCGAGAGGCCTTGACATAACTTCTGGGTGGGGGGAGGGAGGTGAGGGGGACACAGGGGAGAGGAGGTGGAGTGGAGCAACCCGCAGGCTGAAAGTTCAAGATCAAAATAATCCAATTAGTAGTAACTGACAGGCGCGCCGTCACAAGGTGCGCTGACAGGTGACGTATGAGTGCCCTCAAGCTCTCCACCTGATATCCCGCTTTCCCGACCGTCCCATGAAGAGAAACTGGAAAGAAACGAAATAAAATATGGGGTGAGGGGTTATCTGCAAAATGGCACCATGTTGACCGAGTCTAATTCATCTCCTCTGCCTGTCTGAGCCTCCAGGAGCGGCTGTCACGCTCTTTTCTCATTAGACAAACTCAGCACCGCACCAATAAACGCACACGGGAAGACAAACTGGATCCTGGAGGCGCAGGAGTGAAGTCCCCTTCGGAGTTTGTGCAGATTAAACCGCGACTCAAGGTTCTATCCGGCCCATTCGGTTTGTCATTAATCGCTCAGAGGATTTAATCCGGAAGAGGGGGGGAAGGCAGATAAAAAATAAAAGCAGAAGCAAACGCGGATGTTTGTAGTCCCATGCAATGAGTGGGAAAAGCGGATTAGAAATAGTAGAATCAAGTGGACTTGCGGCGGTGTGAGGCCTGAAAGACAGAAAAAATGACCAAAAACAAACGAGCGAAAAATAGAAGATGAAGGAAATGAAGAGATCCCCCCAAAAAATAATAATGTCCAACAGTGTGAGAGTCAGATAAATGGGGCTGCCCACCCGCTCTCTCTCTCTCTCTCTCTCTCTCAGTCAGCTGGAACAAACACGGGCCGCTCGTGTGACGTCACAGCTCACGCGGGAAAGACTTTGGGGGCGTGTCTCATTTGCATATACCGACCCCGCCCGATTGGTAACGCCCCTTGCTTTACCCCAGTCTGCTGCGTTCGTTGTGCATGAGAAGGCTTGTAAATATGGGCTGAAAAAACGTATTACAAATCAACTGGACTAGATTTCTCTGAGATGCCTCTTGGATGAGAGGTGAAACGTCTTCGACCTAGAAATAATCTAGTCCAGTTGATTTTTAATACGTTTTTTCAGCTTAATATGACCTGGATGACTGAGAATCTGCGCAGACTTGTAAATATGAGTGTCCATGTGGATTTTACGACTCCAACTCCATTTTCAGAATCAGCTTTATTGGCCAGGTGTGAGGAATTTCACTCTGGTACAGCAACTCTCAATGTGCATGTACATGTCCTTATGTAAGGCAGCAATGGACAAGTAAACAATGTAGGCTGAGAGAACAGAAAGGAAAGAAAGTAATGTGCAAATAATAATAGTAATAATTTTGCAATAATATTATTTGTATACCTGGGGACAGCAGAAGTTGTAATATCGATATATTAGCACCTTTTAAGAATATATGCTGAACTTGCTTGGAACACTGGCTTTCAGTTGGAGTCATTTCTGGTCCCTGCAAAACTGAAGTGGCAGCAAGGAACAGGAAAACGTGGGTAGGATGATAAACAGGGCCTAGCAGGGATAGCAGGCTAACAACCACACTTCACAAAATTGTAACATAGGCAGTGTTTTATCCAAGCAGCCAGGAATGGTGCTGGTCAGTGAAACAATTTTGGCATAGTGGCCAAACCAAATTGCAACTTGCTATCACCTGATGCACACTGGCCAAATAAAAGCAAAACAATTCCACTTTTTCTGTAAAATATGTTCCACAGTAACTGTAGCATTACTCATGCACTTCCTTTTCCTTGGTAAGTGAAGGCAACATATATTTGCATACAACCCAACGCCCTCCTGCCTGTTTCAGCCAATAGCAGCTAAGAGTGTTGCACACCAAGTCACGGCCCTCCTGATCTAAAATTTTTCCTGTATGGACCATGAACGCACCCCGCCTCCTCCTCTGTCAGTAAACACAGAGGCCAAAACAAGAGAGATGAGAAGCCACCGAGAGTCACATTAAGTGAGATGCACCTCACAATGTTTGTTGTTCCACTGTCGCTCCCTCCCCATTTTCCTTATCTGACAAATATGGGGAAACGTGATTATTTTTACCCACAACGTGACAGGACAGGACCGGTAAGAAAGCAACTGGTACAAAGCAAACAAGCATTAGGGGTTCACATCCCACACCTTATATCCTCCATTTTATATAAAAATTCAACACTTGATTTTGCTGCATTAAGGTGAGATTTGTCCTAAGCATGTTTTGTAAACTGGATTTATTAACGTTTCTTTCTACATGTTCTGTAGTGTTTTACTTACGCAACTGTAAGCCATTGTCACTTAAAATCGTGACATCTAAAGTGGTTAAATTGTGCTTGAAGCCATAAAAACCTGTCAGCACAGTAGCGACAGCTCTCTTTTTCTCCCACTTCGCTGTCCCTATCTACCTCTGGCTTTCTCAGCTCCACAGAAGCACATGTCCGCGGCACGCGCTGGCTGTTCCCTACCGGCTACTGTACCGCGCTGCGATTGGCTGAAATTAGGTCACTTGCTGCTCTTCTCGACGTCTTATTGGTGAAAAATGGGTTGCAGTCTCCGCCCACAGATTTTCCATTGCCACTGCCGCGTGAGACCGGCTGGGGGGTCGGGGCAAGCGGGACTGTGGTCGTGAAAGATCTGTTAATGTTTTTATTTATTTACAATAAATTTTGCTAAATAGTTCAAAGTTGAATCGGTTTTTCAAAATCAGGGATATATATATATATATATATACACACACACATACACAACAAAATGGCAAAAAGTAATTAAAACAGATTATTTTAGATTAAAATTATATCATTCAATGTCATATAAAAGATTATCTACTATTAAAGATTGTTTATTTCTTCAAAATACATTTAGCTAAATTTTATATATATATATATATATATATATACACAAAATTCAAATAAACAAGCAATATTTTAAAATTGAAATAAAATATTTTTTAAACAATGAAAAAATATGTTTATTTCCTAAAGGTGCTGTCAAAGTATAATTTAAACAATGCGTTTTTATGTAGGCTATGTGCAGCTCCTGTGCATTGTTTTCTTCTGAGTTGCATGTTTTTGCGTGTACCTGATAATGTAGAATTACAGAAAGTAAGCGTATTAATAGGCTGTCAAAAATAATAATAAAAACAATATGTTGCATCATACGTTTTCTGCTAGTAATAATTTGACGTACTCCTAAACCAGCCTCAACAGCTGCAGCACTGTGGGAACTGTAGTTCCTAGAAGGATCTGGTGACAGAGTGCTGTCAACTATACGTGACAAGAATGTGCTAATAGTTAGCGAGAGGCCAAAACAGGAGTGTGTGCATGTTGGCGTGCATCAGACCGAGTGCAGCAACAGTCTCAGCAACTCACTTGTGATCCAAGTTTCATGAGCTGTTTCCAATTGATTTTCTGGTTCTTTTCCTGCAGGCTTGGGAAGCAGCCATCATTTATGTTTAATTACTGCCATCTAGTGGCCATTTGTCTGTAATGCACCACAAGTTTCAGTCAACACAGCTACATAACGGCTCAGTGTGCTTCTAGGTGGATTTACAACTACAAACTTCACCCACTTTCTTGTGAGACATGCCAGCAGCTACGCGAGACTAACCCAGCCAGAACCAGAGGACACCTGCGTGTTCCAAAAGAGACCAACAGCTCACCTGATTGCATGCTCCAAGTGCACAATACCTGACCTCCAGTCACTCTCAACACGTGTTGCATTCCTTCCTGCAGGAGAGACTGAATAAGAATATACGGAGCTGATTAATGATCTGAAACCAGCTTTGAGAGAATGTGAGGTGGAGTTTTAAGGCTCTGGAAAGTGTTTTTAATAGGCATGTTGTTGGGAGATCATTTCAACTGATGGGATCAGAGCTTGGTGGAAGGGTGACCCAAACAGAGGCGTAGTTAAAAGGCAGTTGTGTTGTTGGAATGCAAATATTCATTGCTAAAATAGGTATATATTTTGAATTCTGACACCAACCTAAAGCATAATTTTAACCATATCTAACTTCACATATACCATATCTAACACCTCACAATTCTAAGGCTGCTGTAAAACATTTTCCCAAATCTAGCTTGCTTGACCACAGACGATTTTATTAAAGAGTGAATTCAACTCTACACTAACAAATGCTAACCAACAGAGTAAGACCTTGAAGACTGAGTATAGATAAATTAGTAAATCAGGAATATTGACTTGGGTTTAAGTTCAAGTCACCATTTCTCTTCAATACCGAATGACAAAGTTCTTTAAAGGAAACTTTTTAGCCGTGGCAGTTGAGATGTGTACACTAGTCTTTTCTAAAAAAAAATAAATAAACAAACAAATTTGACCACGGTTTCTATTATTTCTCACTACCAGACATAGGCTTTCATAAATAATGAGCTTTTAATAAAGTGAAATCAGTAATGGATGTAACATATCAGTGTTTTTTTTTTTTTTTTGTTGTTTTTTTTTTATTTGAGGGTTTTCAACAAGTGATTGTAAAAAATAAGTTTTTTTTTTTTTTTTTTTGTTTTTTTTTATTTGAGGGTTTTCAACAACTCACTTTTAGGCAAAGAAAATTATAGTAATTTAATAATAATAATAATAATAATATTACATGTTTTAGTTTTACAGATAAAGAAAAACACGTCTGGACAGGACCTAGGTAATGAACTATGTGTACACGCTTCTGTTACAAAAACTGGGCATAACTGTGGAAATGAGGGAGCAGGTCAAACAGGTTCATGGAGGGGAAAAATATCACATTGATACATATACTCATCCCGCTGTTTTACAAAGACAGTCCCCGACTCGTTCCCTCCCACCCATACAATACCAATAATGATAAAAGATGATACTTGGAGTAAAAAACAGCAAAATAATCAATATATAATAAAATATAATACGAATTGTACAGTACACTCTGGTGATTTCTGTTGTCCTGTTCGAATCCTGAACAAATGAACAGTTTGAGCCACGTTTTCTCTTCATCCATGAAAATAACAAAAGTAGTGTACATTAAAAACGAGGTCACCAACACTTGTCTGTTTTGTCCTAACACCTCTTTTTCCTGTTCAGTCTTTTAGCTCATCAACTAGTACTGCATGAGGTTCGAACACTGTCGGTGCAGGATTTCTGTTGTCAGACATCTCAGTACAAACAGAGATTCTCCACTGGGGTAACAAATCAACACATACAGAGCATGAGACACAGACTATACTGTTTTAACTGCGAATAATGAAAAGGTAATTTGGAAGAACGAAAAAAAAAATCTGGTATTAAAGGTACCGCACTTCTACAATAGGCATCCAATCGATATTTAAACACTGACAGTGGGGAAAAATGAAAAGGATGATGAAAAGGAAACTGGGTGCATGTGTGTTCATGGTCTACACTGTGTGCACAATTATTAGGCAAGTGAGTATTTTGACCATATCATCATTTTATCCATAATTTCCAACTCCAAGCAGTATAAACTTGAACGCTTATTGGACTTAATGCATATCAGGTGATGTGTTTTAGTGTAACGAGGGAGGGTGTGGCCTAAGGAGATCAACACCCTATATCAAGGTGTGCATAATTATTAGGCAGAATGTTCTCCTCTGGAAAAATGGGCCAAAAAAGAGATTTAACTGACTCTGAAAAGTCAAAAATTGTAAAAAGTCTTTCACAGGGATGCAGCACTCTTGAAATATCTAAGATATTGGGGCGTGATCACAGAACCATCAAACATTTTATAGCAAATAGTCACCAGGGTCGCCAGAAACGTGTTGAGAAGAAAAGACGCAAATTAACCACCAGAGATTTGAGAAGAATCAAATATGAAGCTACCAGGAACCCATTATCCTCCAGTGC